AGTGGGGCGAACACCGGCTGCAGGGACAGCCGTGCATCACCGCAGCCCGCACCAAGCCCACTCCGGAGACACGCCATGACCGCGGCAGCTCCTTGCTGTGACAACCATGCCCCGGCAGAAGATGTAGGCAAACGCGCACAGGAATCGTACAGGATGGAACATACTGAGCGACCTTTTTTGAACTTCTAATGGATTTGGGTTGACCCCATTTTGGGACGAGGGCAATCTCTCCTCTTACCTGTGCCGTGGCGATATTCTCTGTGTTACTCCTCACGTTTGGGAGCGATCTATGGCAATCACGGAATGGTTTGGGTTGGAAGGGACCTTAAAGCCCACCCAGTCCCACTCCCTGCCATGGGCAGGGACACCTTCCACTAGACCAGGTTGCTCCAAGCCTCATCCAGCCTGGCCTTGAACATTTCCAGGGATGGGGCATCCCAGCTCTTGCCGTAACATACTGCTCACACATCTGTATTTTGGAAAAACCCTAGTGCCAACATGCCATCGCATGTGTGTGCAGGCAGAGAACAGGGTTTGGATTAATCTCATTTTGTTAACATTAATGAAACCAAACATCAGCTTCCAGAACTGTATAAATAACTGAAAAATTATTATGGAGCTAATGCTCTGGGTACGACTCAGATGGATTTTTCCAGAGTGCATCAATATGCGTGTTATGGATTCCATGAGAAGGGGTCAATGAGAATTTCAAGGATTTAATAAGGCATAATGGACCAGCTTTGTGCTATTTAAAGAAATCTATGGAGGTGACCAGGGCACAATCTTTGGCTCAGAGTCTCCCAGGACCTCAGGCAGGAGCAGTGCCAGTGGTGGGCAATGGCTCAGAGCCGCTCATTCCCTCTACTTCAGGCATAAGAGCTGCTGGTGGCATCCGTGGCTTGGCTTTTGAGCTGTGTTTTTTAAAAAATCATTTTAAGCCAACAGCCAGACATCACAAACTACAAAACTCACGGTGGAAAAGGTACAGTGAAGAGGCTCTTCAGGGGCAGAACTGTGCTGGCTGTGCCGCAGGGTCATGCCAGCGAGACCCTGCAGGCAAAGACGCCAGTGGGCAGAGGGCTGAGCCCTTCCTTTCTGCCTCCTGCTCTCTGCCCTCGGCCACACGCACCTCTCCTGCCCTACCCGGACATGGCCAGCCCCGAGCACATCCGAGACCATTAACTTTTTATTCCCTTCCATTCTAATCTAATTAGATTTCTGTGTTCAGTAGCTGAGCGTAATGTTAAGCAGGCTATTCCGAGTAAGCTGCAGTCAGGGAAGGCTGGAAATTTCATTTACACTGAATATATGATTCATTACAGCGGGGACTTGGGACAGACCAATTAATTCATCGGAGCGCGCAGCTCAAATGGCCACTGCTGCCCCACCATGAGCCAGCTCAGCGCAAGCCCTAACTGCTTGTCCTCCCACCGCTCTCGGCTGTGCCACCTTCAAAAGCAACACAAGGAGGTGAAAAACGGCTCAAACCAACTCAGAAATGGGAAAAAAAACATTCCCCAACCGATGCACTGTTGAAACCGGCACAACATCGTTGCACTCTTTTGGTTGCAGCAGCACCCAAGGCGTGAATTCGGCTGCTGGGGACTGTGGACTCAGTGTCCCACGGAGCAAGGAGGGGCACGGCAGCAAGAGGAGGAAGAGGAGGAGGAGGATGACCCCAGCACCCTCACAGCGGGAGCACGGAAGCGTTTACGACAGCAAGCATCATCACACGAGCTTTCGGGTATCGACGGAACGTGCGTGCTGGATGCATGACTTGAACGAGACGGGCTGTCCATCATGCAGCGAGAGGTTAATTACAGATCAGGCCATTTCACAGCCCGGAAATTACTATCACTTGTCAAGGTTTTAGAGGTGGGCTTGAAACACACGTTGAGGCTAAAGTTCAAGGCGGACGCAGGGACCCTTTGCTTCCAAGTCCACATCCGTCCCAGTCCTGCCTTTGAGCTGGGCCCATCTGTAATTTACCTCCGTGGAAAAGCTGTTTCGGTACCCAACGTCCCACCCACAGCAGGAGACGTGTCCAGCCATCCCGGCCACCACACCGGGATTCGACATCCCGAAAAAGCACGAGCGGGAGAATGGCACCAGGCAGGGAAGAGAGCGGCCGCTCACGGGCAGGGGATGATGGGTGCAGGATGGAGACGGGATGGATGCGGAGGGCGCACGGTACGTACCAGGAAACAGCCCGATGGCGTCTGCCCTGCCCCCAGAAGTCAAACAGGCTTCGGCCAGTCAGCAGGAGATTTCAAACCATTTCTCAGACACAAAGGCCACGGGAATAAGATGCCGGTCAGAAGAAGAGGGTCTACAGCGAGCAGAAAAAGGGGTTTGCACGTGCCGCTTTGTAACGCGCTGAGCAAGCCGAGGTGGCCTGCTGCAAAAATCATCTCTTTTGGAGGAAAATAAAATCTATAAAGCAGAGTTTTGAATGGGCTTATTGGCCTGGGAGACCAGGGAAGAAGCAAACGACGGACGGCAATACAAACATTTTAACCTCTGTGCGTGAGCACCTCTGACGCTGCCAATCGCCCTGGGGACAGATGGCCCCAAACAGCAGCAGGACATCTATCTGCCACCCTCTCCCAGACCCCATCATCGCCTGCAAGGGGTCTGCCCCGAAACACAACGGTCCCAGAAAGCATCCCCATGGCAGCAAAGCTGGGAACCCTGACACCACTCGGCTGGGGTTCCCGTCCGAATCAACGCACGCCTACAATCAACTAAACGGTTTGAAAGCCCTCGCCAAGTCTCTGCCTTCCAGGACCTGAGGGAAGCCTGGAAAAGGCGAACGAGCAAAACCCCATGCGCATATGGAAGACGGTGGTTAAAAAAGACGCCCATTAAGCCACGGGATTCCAGGTTTCTGCCCTTCGTGCAGGTACATGTCAGCTACGGACGGCACGCACGCACGGCTCCAGCCAGGAGCACCGGCTGCTCATTTGCTCCCTCCCAACTCACCTCCAGATTTTTCCTCTAACTCTGATGGGGACCGTGCGTTTACCACGTGGGGTAACTCCGCACCAGCGCCAGCAAAAGAGCTGCGGGAGCCAGCCT